GTGCACGCATGCACGCACGCATACACGCGTGCATGCACGCACGCATACACGCGTGCACGCATGCACGCATGCACGCACACGTACATGCACCACACTCCAGACCCCACACCCCCCAACCTAATATTCCGAGACTCCTTACCAAAGTCGGGGTATATACGATTGATGTGCTTCCATGCTTCACCGTCAGCAGGATGTCTCAGTTTCCCGTCCTCTTTGCGGTCGGTCGAATGCCATCGCATATTCTCAGCCAGCTCGGTAGACATAAAAAACCTCTGCAGCCTAGGAATAATTAGAAAATATCGAAGAACCTTCACAGGGATTTTGCTCTGCTTATTGGATGAACCACCTTCGGATGTTCCCGTAGGTTCTTTCCAACGTGATACATGACACGTCGAACATTCCTCCAGAGCTTCATTACCCTTATTGTACAGGATGCAGTCATTAGGACATGCGTCTATCTTCTTGTAATCAAGCCCCAGCGTATCAACAATCTTATGAGCTTCGTAAGAGGTTGCGGGGATGCTCTTCTCATCGTCTGGAATGACTTTCCTGAGCAAGTCTAATAACATCTCAAAATGTGTAACAGCCATCCCACTGAGTGTTTGGATATGAAGAAGCCTCAGTATAAAAGAAAGCCTTGTGAACTCCTTGCAACCCTCGTATAACGGTGACTCGTTTTCTTCAACAAGTCTCATCAATCGGTCTACATCTTGAAACATATCAGTAGTGTTGACATCACTCAAAGACGGCGCGGCAAGAATATCTTCCAACATATCAGTCTTGTCAACTGTCGAATTGTCGACATCAGTGAACTCTTCCTCTAATTGCATCACTGGGACGCCTTCACCGTGATGACTCCAAAATACATAAGAGCTATCAAATCCATTGATTGACAGATGGAAACTTACGTCACTCCTAGTGAGCATTTTACCATTCCTGCAATTCTTGCAAGGACAGAAAATCGACCCGCTCAGCGATCGTAGAGGGTTGGTGTCAGAGTAGGCTAAGAAGGCTTCTATTCCATCCTTGTATCGGGTGTCTAGATGCCTCCGATCACGTGGTATGCTCATGAACAATTTGTCAGGAACTGTCCGCATCTAGAATTTAAAAATTAATGGAAGTGAGCATATCCCTACATATATCATTTTAATTTAGAACAAATGTGTGTGACCGGCTGTCAGAGGAAGGCTTCTATCCCATTAGGTATGTAAACGTGATGTGTATATGTATTTACGTGTGTTCAAGTGTACTATCATTTTGTCAAAATTTCGGCAGCACCTACTCGCTATTCTCCGAGTACACTGTAGTCGGAGGGATATACTCCTGCATATCCCTCCGACATTTGTACACGGAGAACAATGAGTAAGCGCCGTCGAAACTCTGACAAAATAAAAGTACACAAGAACACACGTAAATACATATACATGTCACGTTTACATACCTAACCCATCCAAACTGGACAGATCCAATAAATATTTATATATAAGTCCCCCCATCACATACACGTATGAAAAGGTTGTCGACCCAAACACGATGGTCTCGTATCCACGAACCATACCGTACGCGTATGTGACCGGTAAATAAAGAGATTATATATAGTATTTATTGGACGGAGAATTCTACGGCTCGAAAATATGTGTGTGTACAATTTCTATGTAATTAGCGATGTAATAGTTATGCTAACCTTCAACATAACCCTCACTAGAACCCAAATTGCTAATATTTTTTTATGTTTAGAAGAATAGAAAAAGTTCGCTGAGGGGGTATAACCATATTTGTAATGAGAGAACCCAAATTGCTAATCTTTTTTTATGTTTAGAAGAGTAGCAAAAGTTCACTGAGGGGGTATATGCACATGGAAATACTACAAGGGGATCCATGCGCACAAATAGAAGTATATGGGTTTGTCTGCAACTTGCGATAGTACAAGGGATCATTCGCAGTTAACCCTTTCAAATTTGAGTAGTAGAAACGAAGCATAAGACGGTACCAAATTGCTAATCTAGTTTAATGATTTTTTATAGACGTGTATAGGGAAAAAGGTCTATTAATAATTAAGTCTATATTGAGAACTTCTCTACATTATCAACAAAGGAATTGGAGTTCCATGTTAAAACCCATTTTGGTTATTATTATTAATTTAATTAGAACTTTACACACAAAGGAATTGGAGTTCCATGTTAAAACCCATTTTGGTTATTATTATTAATTTAATTAGAACTTTACACAGCATGTTTTTTTTGGTCACTTTAACCGAATTATGTTGATAATGTACATCATTATTGTGTTGGCATTTGAGAAGAATAAGCTGCAGATGACCCCCTTTAGGATGGATTGATAACAATTTGCTAACAAATAAGTTGAGAGGTGATAAGTTCTACCGAAGACAAAGATGAGGCAATTTTCCCATATTTCATTAATACATAAGGTGCGAGGTGAGCATTATAAATACAAAAAAAATTAGAACTCATAAAGAATGTCACCTTCCTATTTTTCTTCCCACTACCCAGAAATGATACTTAATATTTTTATTGAGTTTGGTGGTATTAACATTCCAAGCAGTTAGCACAATGACAAAAACCTTATGGACCAAACCCTTTATTGAGTTTGGTGGTATTAACATTCCAAGCAGTTAGCACAATGACAAAAACCTTATGGACCAAACCCTTAACAAGTCTCCAACTGCTAAGCATGCAAGTAGTTTAAGTATCATCACTTCCTCAGTTGTTTGCTTTTGTTGAACACTTTAGTTGGTGTTGTTTCTTCTTTTCTTCTTCTTACTATTTACATTTTGTTATTAATTTTAATTCGACAAATGACAAAGTTTGCACATTCAATAGTCGGCTATAAAGCCCTAAATTGCTCAAATAGCACCAAAGAATTGTTTTGTTATTAGTACAAAAGTGCGATATAATGTTTAATGCATGGAACCTAATTATTGAATACCGAAACAATAATTCCCACGAAATTAATGAAGATAGCAACTGTTCTCATATGAAGAAATTTAAACATGATACACATTTAACCATGTATCAGATGCATCATCATTTTTGCATTGACAAGGTACTTAGAGGTAGAAGGAAGGCCTCAAAGAAGCATTCATAAAGAAAACATAATCAAGTTAATAGCATCAACACATAGATTTGATACTAAAAACATATATGATACAACGATTGTCTGTGTCACAACAAAGAAAACCTGAAAACACCAGAGTATCCGAAAACACAGAATATAGAAATTGCATATATATCCCAATTGAAGTTGTTACTATGGTTTTTATTTTCAGTTTTTGGGGTTGACAGCCAACTCAGCTTGAGACACATTCCCCCTAACCCTAACCCTTGAGCTAAATCCCAAGTGAGCTAAATCAAATTCTCCTAACTCAAAACATTAGAAAGTTTATACTTTATAAATGATAAAGGACATGTGACCACATAATCATGTTGACTGAGATGATGTCTTTTTCATGAGAGAATGATGACGATGCTTAATTAACAACATTGAAAGGAATAATGCAGCGGCTCGTCGGCATAATTAACCCTAACCCTTGAGAGAAAGAGGGGGGGGGAGGGAGAGAGGGGGGAAATGGGAAATGAGAGAGGGATTTGGGATAAATCCCTCTCTCGGGCGTGGGCTGCCCAAATTTTTTGGGCACGCCCGCTCCTAAATTTTTTTCACATCTATTTTTTTAGCGACGGAATTTCCGTCGCTAAAAAGCTAAAATTTCGTCGCTAAAAAGCTTTTTAGCGACGGAAAATTCCGTCGTTAAAAATCCGTTGGTAAAATTATAGCGACGGATAAATTCCGTCGCTAAAAATGAATAATCCGTCGGCAAAAATTTTTTAACGACAGAATAATAGCGACGGAAATTTCCGTCGCCATAAATCGTCTTATAGCGACGGAATTTTCCGTCGCTATTAGTCCGTTGGGAAAACCACATATTAATCTCTCCTTAACCCTCATTAATCTCCCCTCAAAATGAGAGTGCTAGAGAGAACGAGAGAGAGGAACAGAGAAATGGCCGCCGCCAGGGGTGAGGATCGCACAAAGAGAGAGAGAGGGAGGAAGCACCGGATCCGCACCCAGGGGTTTCCCTTTATTTAGGGAAACCTTAGTTGACCTGTCGACGGTCTGTCGACAGCCTAGATTTCCGCCACGAGCTCGCCTGTCACGAGCGCTCGAGCTCGCCTGGGTGAATCTCGCCAGACAGAAGCTCGCCTGCAAAAAGAGTCTCGAGCTCGCCTGCAACGTCTCCCAACTCGCCGGCAAGGACTCGAGCTCGCCTGATGTCAACCTCGAGCTCGCTTGCGCCTGTGGGATCTCGAGCTCGCCAATTGGAGCTCGCCTCGCCTAAGGGGTGACGTCGACCTCGCCTGAGTTGACGCCGACGCTCCCCTACGTGGATATCAAGCTCGCCAGAGCTACTCGCCTAAATCAAGGTTTGATCTACACCCCAATTCCAGCAGTCTCGTTCATCATAGTTCCGTCTACTGTCGAGATCCGAATAATTCGTCGCTACGTGTAGATCGGAGCACCAATCCAAGATATAATTTCTCCCCGTTACTTTAAACAGATCTCGAAATACCATCACTAATGCAATGAAATTCTTTCTCTACTATTCCATCGCTAATACATTTGTAACAACCTTGCAACGGAATATTCATTTTAATTGATGTTACAAGTAAACATATTTGCAGCAACCGTTGTTGTAGATGTTCACTGATACATCTGTGATGGGATACTGTCACTAATTTCCATTGCAAATTTTGCTACAGAACTATTGGCATCAACGTCCGCGTCAGAAATGTCCGTTCCCCTTCTGTCGCTCATAGTATTATCGGCGAAGAATTGTTTTCCCGTTGCAGATAATGAGCACCAACAACGAAGGCTACGGCTAAGCGGTTTCAACAATTGAATTTCATCGCTTTTGATTATTTTCCTCAGAATGCTACTAACTGCGACGTCATATACTTAAGAAGAGTATTTTTACACCATTCCTCTGGTCTAAACTTGTTTAGTAGCGTAGAGAGCTTCATAGGAAGACATTTAGTCGAGTACAAATGAATTAAAACTTTTCATACCATAAAAATGTACACGCACACGTATGTGCATAAGAGAATGGTTCACTTTAATTTCCCAATCTCAGCTACAAAGGGATAAAAGGCGCACAAACATGGTGTCTTCTTTCATTTGAAAATAATAATAATAAGAAGAAGAAGAACATCGGATTTAATAAAAAATGTGGCAATTGACTGAAATTCATTCTTTCTTTGGCAGCTCTGGCCGGACCTCAAACCCGCCGCCCTGGCGCTCGACAACAGTGTACGGCACGTAAGTACCAAAGATCTTGTCCCAGGAGATGAAGAACGGTTGCGCGTAGTTGTATTTGTTCCCCTTAAGCTGATGGTGGACATCATGGTAGGCGACATTGTTGTTGAACAAGAACTGGAGGGGATTCCACGGCATCCACAGGGCACAGTGGACGTCGACGGTCTTGATTGTGGCGAAGGTGAAGAAGTAGATGCTGGTGCGAGTGGTCATCCCAGAGAGGAGGAAGGCCATGGATCCTCCGATGGTGTCGAGGATGAGGCCCTCGATGGGGTTGTTGTAGAGGGCTCCGTAGGCATAGGGAGCGATGAGGGCGTGGTGGTAGGAGTGGATGTGTTTGTACAGGAACTTGTTGATGTGGAGGTAGCGGTGGCCCAGGTATTGCCATGAGTCGAGCACGATCATCGCGATCAAGAACTGCCGTGCCATTACCAGCAACGAAGGCTGCGGGGGCGGTACTCCGCTGTCGTCGCCGATCAATTTCAGAATGGAGAAGACGACCACCACTTGAACCAGCTGCTGAAGAAGCACACCCCTCAGCACTTGTCCTTTGGAAGCTATGTTCTTCTCTTCTTCCTCGCTCTTTGTGTGAAGCCTCCAGCTCTCATTGTAACTAAGAAGTCCGTATATGCCCGAAAACACCCAGTACACCACTATGGGCACAAAGGTACTCAGCACCTCATCAGATAAGTGATCAGTCGCCATGAAGGAAAATCTCACTGGCTAATTCAGAAAAGTTACAATAGAACTTGAATTAGATCTCCAGGATTTTTGTGGTTAATTTGATGTTGAGTTAGCTTGGAAGGCCGTCCTTTTATAGTATCAAGGATGTTTGTAATTTGACTAATTCAAGCTTCAAATGATGGACCAAGACCAAAGAATTTCTTCGCCAAATTATGGAAAATTAAAAGAAAAGCAATATATCGTTTGGATTAAAATATACAAAGCAAGGTCACAAAAGTAACTAATTCTTGGTCTTAGCATGAGTTTTCAAACCTTCGGTTGGTTAGTAATAAAGAAAGGTACTGACGTATGTTTATGGTTTTGAACAAATCATGGGATGGTGACAGTGGGGAAGAGAGCAAAGAAAAATGTAACTTGACTAGTTCTAATATGGATAAGCTATAATAAAAGTAATAGGAAAAAAAGGGAATAAACATTACCAACATAACCAAACAGTTTGCAAGACATCAGATATATTGCTCTTTGTTAAACACTGGAATTTAAAAATATTTGTTCTTAATCCAATATTTAGTTCAGGTCTGGTCATACTCAATCTATTATTTCTGTTAGGTCCCTATAGATTTTGTTTTCATTCTATTCGGTTCTTCATGCTTGAGAAAAAAATATTTTTTAGAGGAAAACAGGATTGTCATTCCCCACCATTTTCACTTGCCCTTTACTCGTATTGTTGTTCCACAAAACTTCATAAATCAAAACCATGTCTATTTCTTCCAACTCTACCAACAATACAAGCATAATTCTTTACACCTCAGACAAAAACTTGAATTGTATGTCATTATCTTTGCGATATTTTATGTTTATCATGTGAGCTAAATAGAATGAGAACAGAAACCATACGTGCTTAATCGAATGAAATAATAGATTATGGGCTTAATAGAAATGTAAGATCCTTAGGAGCTTATCTGAACTTAAAGTCCATTTTCGAGCACACTAAGGAAAAAAAATACGCATAACGCCGTGTAGATGGGAATTGAAAGTTGGCTGTTCTTGGTCTTGTTTGACTGCGGACCTTTTGTAGAAAATGGTTTTGGGTCACATCTGTGCGGTTGAAAGTGAGCTCTATGATAATGCTTTCCAAGTTGAATATATATATAATTGTTAAAGGAGACAGAGAGTCTCTGATAGGGATGCACAATCCCCCTGATACGATTTGGAAATAGAGATTTAGGAGAGAAGAGAGAAAATCAAACAATCTCAAACACACAAGATTTACGTGGTTCGCTTCTCAATGTGAGAAACTACGTCCACAGCCGCCGCAGGAGAAAAAATTCACTATTTTTCGTCATAATACATCATGCCCTAATCAACCCTTTTATAGACTTAAGGGTTAAACAAGTAGAAAAGGAAACAGATCAAAACAGGTTAAATAACGAATTTGGGCCAAAACCCGACTCCGGTCGACCGCCGCACCACATCCGGTCGACCGCGATGCTGTTCGAAATCTGCCTGGCTCTCTGGACTTTTGGCGGTCGACCGCAGCGCCATGCTCGGTCGACCGCGATGAAGCTAAAAGTCTGGGTTGCTCTCTGGACTTTGAGCGGTCGACCGCAGCGCCATGCTCGGTCGACCGCGAGCTGCTCCTCACCCTAGTGCCTGCCTGTGCACGTCGTCGGTCGACCGTCTATCATCAAGTGCTGAGGCCAACTGAAGTTGAACACAACTTCAGTTTCTCTGTAGTGACAACCTTGGTAAGCATATCAGCTGGATTCTTGCTTCCTTGAATCTTCTCAAGTTCCAACATGTCCTCGTCCAACGCTGATCTTATGAAGTGGTAGCAGACCTGTATGTGTTTGGTCCTTGCATGAAAAGCGGGATTCTTCGCCAAATGAATTGCGCTCTGGCTATCACAATGTAAGACACTCTTCTCACTCTTCTGTCCCAGCTCTTCCAAGAAACCCTGCAACCATATCATCTCATTGCTTGCCTCTGTCACAGCAACATATTCAGCCTCTGTCGTTGATAAAGAAACGATTTTCTGCAACTGAGAAACCCAACTAATAGCTGTAGAGCCCAAAGTGAATACATATCATGTAGTGCTCCTTCTCTGGTCTATCTCACCAGCATAGTCTGCATCAACAAAACCCTGCAGGACTAACTTGCCTCTTCTGAAGCATAGACAATCTTCTATAGTACCTCGCAGGTATCTAAGAATCCACTTTACTGCTTCCCAGTGCTGCTCTCCTGGATCTGACATAAATCTGCTCACAGCTCCCACTGCATGGGCAATGTCGGGTCTCGTGCATACCATAGCGTACATAAGGCTTCCAATGGCTGAAGCATATGGAACCTTAGCCATGTATTCTTTCTCTTCATCTGTCTCAGGACACTGCTCCTTAGTCAGTTTGAAGTGACTGGCTAACAGTGTGCTAACGGCCTTAGCACCACTCATCCCGAATCTCTCAAGCACCCGTCTAATGTACTCGGCTTGAGATAGCCGCAGTGTGCCCAAGAGTTTATCTCTACTGATCTTCATTCCCAATATCTGCTTCGCTGCGCCTAGATCCTTCATGTCGAACTCACTCGACAGTTGCTTCTTCAGCTTCTTGATCTCTGTCATATCTGAACCGGCTACTAGCATGTCGTCGACATATAGAAGCAAGATGATGTAACTGTTGTCGAACTCTTTGACAAAACAGCAATGATCAGCATTACACCTGGAGTAGCCGTTCCTATGTATGAATCCATCGAACTTTTTGTACCATTGCCTTGGAGCTTGTTTTAGGCCGTACAAGCTCTTCTTCAATCTGCATACCATCTTCTCTTTTCCCTTCTGAGTAAAACCCTCTGGCTGCTGCATATATATCTCTTCCTCTAGATCACCGTGGAGGAAAGCTGTCTTTACATCTAGCTGCTCGAGATGTAGATCTTCAGCTGCAACAATACTCAGGACTGTTCTGATGGTAGTTAGTTTGACTACTGGAGAGAAGATCTCTGTGTAATCAACTCCTTCTCTCTGCTGAAATCCTTTAACCACCAATCTAGCCTTGTATCTCTTGGAACCATCATGTTCCTCTTTGATTCTATACACCCATTTATTGCTCAAGGCCTTTTTCCCGGTTGGTAGCTTCGCAAGTTCCTATGTCTTGTTGGTGTTCAAGGATTTTATTTCATCTTTCATGGCGAGCTCCCACTTGCTCGCATCATCCACTCGAAGGGCCTCATCATAACTTTCTGGCTCTCCACCGTCACTCAATAATAAGTAGTTAAGATGAGCTCTGGGCTATAGTGATGGGTACTTCGAATTAGGCTTGGGGACTCTAGCTGACCGCCTCAACTCTCTGACGGGCGAAACAGGCTCTCCATCTTCATCTGCCCCCTCTGAAGTAGTCTCATCCATCAACTCTTCTTCTTCATCAGAACTAGCTTCGGGATTGCCTCCATCTGAGGCATCATCTGACTCGAAGTATGTGGGATCACGTTGTGTCGAACTAGTGGACTGAACGACATCACGGTCTTTGTAGAGGACTGTTTCATTAAAGACCACATCCCTGCTTCTGATGATTTTCTTGTTCTGCTCATCCCAGAACTTGTAGCCAAACTCATCACCGCCATAGCCAACAAAGAAACATTTTAGAGACTTAGGATCAAGTTTGTTTCTTGCATGATCACTCAGATGAACATAAGAAACACAACCAAATACTCTCAGGTGAGAAAGGTTTACCTGCTTTCCACTCCATACTTCTTCAGGTATTTTGTGCTCCAAAGGCACTGATGGCCCCCGGTTGATCAAGTAGGCAGCTGTGTTGACTGCTTCTGTCCAGAATTGCTTTGGAAAACCTGCTTGTAACCGCATACTTCTGGCTCTCTCAGTCAATGTTCTGTTCATGCGTTCTGCTACGCCATTCTGCTGGGGTGTACCTGGCACTGTCCTCTCTAATCTAATGCCGCTATCATAACAGAACTTCTTGAACTCTGAGTCTTCATATTCGCCGCCGTTGTCAGAATGAAGCTTTTTGATCTTCAAACCGGTCTCGTTCTCAACCATAGCCTTCCATCTCTTGAAGACTTCAAACACTTCTGATTTGTTTTTCATGAAATAGACCCAAGTCTTCATCGAGTGATCATCTATGAAGGTCACAAAGTATAACCTTCCGCCGGTGGATGGTACTGATGCTGGACCCTACACGTCTGTGTGAACTAACTCAAGCTTCTCTTCTTTAGGGGTTCTGCCAACCCTTTTGAAGCTTATTCTCTTTTGTTTCCCTAGAATGCAGCTTTCACATAGGTCAATGTCAGCTGATCTCAAACCTGGTAACTTCCCGTTCGATTGCATAACCTTTAGGCCTTTGCTACTCATGTGACCTAGCCTCTGGTGCCACAAATTTGGGTCTTCACTGCCTTCAGCCACTGCAATGGAACCTCGTGCATCTATCGTCATGTAGAGAGAACCTGTCTTCGTACCACGGGCAACAACCATGGACCCCTTTGTAACCTTCCACGTATCACATGCGAAGGTTGTTACATATCCCTCTTTCGCCAATTGTCCTATGGAAATCAATTTTTTTCTCAAGCTAGGAACATGTCTTACATCGCTCAGCTTCCATATAGACCCATTGAGCTTGATCTGCACGACTCCTTTGCCAATGATATCACAGGGCTGATCATCACCAAGATAGACTTTTCCTAGGTTTCCTGAAACATAGTTCTCAAATAAATCTCTATTTGAGGTAGCATGAAACGAAGCTCCTGAATCCAGCACCCACGATTCAGTTTTGCTCTCCAACGAACAGATTAGGGCATCATCTGATTCTCCTGAGGCCACGTTCGCTTCATTCTTGTTCTCCTTGTCCTTCTTGGGTTCTCGGCACTGATTCTCATAGTGGCCAAACTTGCCACAATTCCAGCAATCAATCTCCTTCTTGCCCTTGCGGTTCCTGGAATTTGGCCTTCCGTTCCTCGAGTTAGATCTTCCTCGGCTACTCCCTCTATTTCTGTTTCTGTTTCTTCCTCTACCCTCAAGATTCAACGCCGACCCTGAATTAGAAATCCCTTCCTCTTGTCTTCTTATTTCCTCAGTCATAATCATGTCCACCACCTCTGAAAACTTCAGTTTTGATTTGCCACATGATCCGCTAATCGAGATAACAGTACCCTTCCAA